TAATCCTTTAATGACCTCTATGTGTTTAAGTGAAAGAATTAGTAGCATGTCTGTCATTTAAAATCAAAAGCTGGAAATGATTATGCTTAGTGAGGATGGTATGTTGAAAGCTGAGATAGGCCAAAAGCTAGGCTTTTGTATCAGTTAGCAAAATTGTGAATGCAAAAAAGCAAAAGAAAAAAAGTTCTTGAAGGAAGTTAGAAGTGACATCCAATGATCACACAAATGACAAGAAAATGAAATTGCCTTACTGGTGATACGGAGAAAGTTTGAGTGGTCTGAATACAAGATCAAACTAGCCACAACATTGTCTGAAACCAAAGCCTAAGACCCCAACTTTATTTGGTGCTATGATGACTGAGAGAGAGAGGAAGCTGCAGAAGAAAAATCTGAAGGTAGCAGAAGTAGATTCATGATGTTAAGGAAATGTCATCTTCATAGCATAAAAATGCAAAGTGCTGATGAAGAAGTTACAGCAAGTTATACAGACAATGTAGCTAAGATTGTTGTTGAAGGTGGCTACACAAAACAACATATTTTTCTGCTGACAAAAATGTATACAAAACAGTCTTATATTGGAAGAAGATACTATCAAGGAATTGCATAGCTAGAAAGGAGAAGTCAGTGCCTGGCTTCAAAGTTTCAAAGAACGGCTGATTTTCTTGTTTCTTGTGAAAGGCTACTCCACATGGTGTCTTTAAGTTGAAGCCAATGCTCATACCATTCTAAAATTCCTATGACCCTTAAGAATTATACTAAACCTTCTCTGCTTGTGCTCTGCAAAGTCTGGATGACAGAACATCTGTTTACAGCATGAGTCACTGTTTACCTTGGGGAGAGGCAAGTTCTCAACAGAGGGCTTCAAATATTCAGTAAACCATGCTTTAAACAGATGTTCTGACATCCAGACTTTGTTGTAGCCCATGAATCAAGGAATAATTTTGAATTTCAAGTCCTATTAGTTAAGAAATATGTTTCATAAAGGCTATGCCTGTCATAGTTATTCCTCTGATGGACCTGAGCAAAATAAATTGAACCCTCTGAAAAGGAACTACTATTCAAGATGCTATTAATAACATTCATGATTTATAATAGAAAGTCTAAATATCAAATTAACAAAGTTTGAAAGAAGTTGATTGCAACTCTCATGAATGACTTTGAGGGAGTCAAGGTTTCAGTGGAGAAAGTAACTGCAGATATGGAAGAAATAGCAAAAGGACTAGAACTAAAATTGGAGCCTGAGATGCATCTGAATTGTCGCAATCTCATAATCAGAGTTGAATGGATGAGAATTTGATTCTTATGGATGAACAAAGTAGTCTCTTTAAATGGAATTTACTCCTAATGAAGATGCTATGAATCTTGTTAAAATGACAACAAAGGACTTAGAAACTTACATACATTTGGTTGATAAGGCAGCAGAAGAGTTGGAAAGGATTGACTTCAATTTTGAAAGAACTTCTACTGTGGATAAAGTGCTATTAAACTACATCACATGCTACAGAGACACCTTTTATAAAAGAAAGAGTCAATTGATGCAACAAACTTCGTTGGTGTCTTATTTTAAGAATTTTCACAATCTTTCCAGTCTTCAGCAACCACCATTCTGATGAGTCATCAGTCATCAACATTGAGGCAAGACCCTTCACCAGCAATAACATTATGAATTGCTGAAGGCTCGGATGATCGTCACTTTTTTTTAGCAATAAAGTATTTTAAAGTAAGTTTTAAAAATTAATTGTTTATTTATACATAATGCTATTGTACACCAAATAGATTATAGTATAATGTAAATATAACTTTTATATACACTAATTCCCCCCAAAAAATTCATGTGACTTGCTTTATTGTTTTATTCACTTTGTTGTGGCGGTCTGGAACCAAACTCGCACTACCTCTGAGGTATGCCTGTATATCCTTTTTCCCTGTTACCTTTGGGTTTTTTTTTTTTTTCTCTTATACTTCTGACCAAAAGAAAAAAAAATCTGGATTTTATCAGTGGTATTTGTAAAACCTATTGCAACCAATGGAAATAATCTCAGAACAAAGGAAGAAATAAAATTGACTTTATAATACGATTTTTATCATTTTCATCATCATGATCAATGCATTTTTGTTACTCACCCACTATATATGGAGCATGATGCTAAATCATAAGACTAAAAAAAGACAAGACAATCTTTACCTTCAGTTGATTTATTCAGTAGTTGAGAAATGAGGACACAGATATAAAAAAGATAAATAATATATATTGGCATATCCTAAGTACCCAGTAGAAATCACACGGTCAGTACCCTTGGAGTTCAGAGAATTTATTACCAAAAACTGGGATAGTTCAAGACGATTTAATTCACATTTCGAAGGAGGACTAGAATGTTAAGAAATAAAAGAAAGTGTTCCAGCAGATATTACAGTACTCATAAAGGTGAAAATTCACATGGCATTTTCAGATTAAAAATAATATATCAATGATCCAGACTGGCTTATTCAATATTATAGTAGAAGAAAAATTTAGAATGTGTAGCTAGCCTTGAGTATCTAGATTAGCAGTGTGAACTTAAGAGGTCTATTGGAAATAGAAACCCATTTAATGTTTTAGAAGAAATGAACTTACAAGTAAGTTAGGACATTTTATAAGGCATTACTATTAAAAATATTGGTACTAGCGTGAGACAATCATGGCCTAGACTAAATAGTATCAGAAGAAATTAAAAGCAAGCATAATTGCTAAAGCCATTAGGATAGTGAAGTCAACAGAACTTGGTAACCGATTAGACACAAACATAAGAGACTACTAAGACCTTCACAAACTTTTATTCAACTGTGCTTGAATTAGGAATTCATAAATGAATGAGCATGCCCTCAATCATATACATAATATAGAACTCTATACGGAAGAGGTTATTAACTCTACAGGGAACTAAAAGGTGGCTGGATTTTACCTTCACAGATACATTAATGTTTAAGCTTGGACTTCAGATTTGAATAGAATTTTGCCAGATGGGAAAGGTGAAAAAGTAATGAAGAGGGACAAAAAAAAAATCACCTTCAAAATTTTAGATCTACATGATTTCAGAAAGATGGTAACAGACTATAAGATGGAAATCTGGTAGTAAAGATGGTTTTGGTGTAAAAATAACGAGTTCAGTTTAGACAGTCTTCAAACAAATATGTAAAGTCCCTACAAATCTGAAGGCATTGGAGACACATCCATGAACAAAAAAGTCAAAAATAGTCTGCTTTCATGAAGTTTCCATTATAGCGGAAATAAATACATAATTGGAAGTATCATATTAATCAAAGAGCTTTGTTTTATAGTGATGTTTGTGTTTTATTTTTCTTTCTTTTCATTCATGTCAATGAGGTAAAATAGACACACAAGAAAGCATGAGTGCCTAGTATCTGACTTAATAAGTCAACACTTAAGCAACAAAATTTACCAAGTAACCCATCTCTGTAAGATTTCAGACTCTCTTTAAACTGACCTTAACGACTACAAGCTTCAGACAAATGGTTTTGCAACTGAGAGCAATAAATTAGAGTCAATCACATTTAGTTAGGAGAATCTAAAGTCTTAATGTGCTAAAACAAGCAGACCTGCTTCTAGCTTTGCATTTTTATTGTACTCTTTCTACTCTCCTTCTGTTCATGATGTTATACTGAGATCTTCTGACCTTAGCAATACTTTATGACATGTGTCTGGACTACAGTTCTCACTAGGTCTTATTGCCAGAATGTTCAAAGGTAGAAAAATATTGGAAATATACTTGCAAGTCAGATATAAGAATTTTGAGAAATTAACCTTAATTCCTGTTGCAATTTAAATGCTCAGTTTAAATGAAGTACAGATATGTATCTGTGTAGCATTTCTCTCAAAGCTGCTATCAAGGACAGGTGAGTAATATCATTTTTTACTTGCCTCTGTAGTGGCATAGTATTCATTTCACCCTCCAGTAACCTGATATGCTGAGGAAGACTGGACATTAATGTTTTCTGAACTCCACACTACTGGAAGCCAATGTTTAGAGCTTTCTCCTGACTGGTTGAAAAGCACTCATTTAGTTTCCTACAAAAGGAACTTGGGGCCTTGTTTATGTGGTTATTTCTTTGTAAATGAGTTACTATAAGCAATTCCTTAAAGTTTTAAATTATACCTGTTTTTAAAATAAAAACTTATTCATTTAAAATGAATTGTTCTCACCAAAAACCTTAGTTATAGTTAATCATGTCAAAGCAGTATGGTGCCAACTTTATACCCAGGCACTTCCCAGGAACTTTGTAATAATTTAATCTAATTTTTCTGATGGAGTAAGATGATGACAATCTGAGGAGTCCATTTGAGAAATAAATTGTCTTTGGAAGAGGGTTTCAAATGCTAAATACTTTCACAAATTTATTTTGAGAACAAATATTTATTCAGTGCCTAGTGGGTCCTAAACATTATAGCAGGCATATACTGTCAAAAAAAATGCATAAACCATGGTTACCTTCAAGAATTTTGCAGTCTAGTAATATTGTCTTATTGAGTTTTTTTTTATTTCTTGTAAAGGACTTTAAATTTTTTGTTGTTGTTAAGATCTGACTGAACTGATTTTAAAATAGTAGAGTTCATTTTTAATTATACAAACTATTAAATTCCCAGTTGTTGTTAATTTATTTAACAAATGCATGACTAAATAAAAAGCAAAAAGTTTTATGGTATTTTAGGAAACATCCTAGGTTAATCCTAACTCACATTTTATAGATGAAAAAGCTGGCAGGAATCTGACTTCAAACCACATTTGCAAAGTCTAGTCAAAAGGGTTTTCTACTATAGTCTATACCAGAGCATAGAACATGGAAAAATAACAATTATTCGGTTCTAATAATTATCCTAATTGATTGTGGAATAATTATTTCACCTTATGCACTGGGGACAGAATTCATTGTTCTCCCTGATAGGTCTCATGCATTATCCCTTAACTATTAACAACTTCATGGCTATATTTATTATGTATTAGTTTTCCAGATCAAGAAATTCGTCAAGTGGCAGTTCAACAATTAGACAAACTATTGAATGATGAACTACTGGAATATCTCCCACAACTAGTTCAGGTAAGAACAGCAAAGTTGCCAAGGAAATCCAGGATTTTAGCTGATGATCTTTTAAAACGTTCTCAATGAATCAACAATAAACCACATAAAAGTGATATTGTAATTTGGCCAGTCAAGGAGCTAAATCGTAGCTCATATGTCAACATGGATAATGCAAACATTTGGTAGCCAAAGTTGGTACAGTTACAAAAAGGTACATAGCTGTCAAAAAGGAAAATTTTTTAAAAATTATTTCACTTATTAATCAGAACATGGAAAAATAGAAATGTATGTAATGACATCTTTTCATATACATATGAATAAAAATTAAGCAAATAAATGATATATAAAAATATTAATTTGCTAGGCAGCTTCTCATAGTTTATGAGTTTCAAGTTTCTTGTCTTTCCCTTAGAGGTTTATAGTATAGATTACAAATCTTATCAAAGTAATTTCTAATACCAACTTTTGCCAACCAATAGTACATTTTAATATCAAGTATCATAATGTTGGAATAATTTTAGAAAGTAATATAAAGTTATCTAAAAATATGTACAAAGACTGACTTAGCCTGAATATGATGAAAGATAAATAATTATTTGCACATTTTACAAATGACCAGGTAAATGTCTAAATATCCAAAGTACAGAAGGTATTTTTTTTCAAGAGGACTGTATACTGAGTGCTGAATGCGTCTAAAATGATGGGTTTTGTTTTGTTTTTAATTCAACTTCTTTTATCTGAAAGGTCAGGTTGTAGTTACAAGCTATTTTAAATGCCAGGTGCCTCAGGTTTTGAACAGTGACAGGATATTAATAGAGGATTCTCTATTAATAAACTTCCATAGTTTGACTTTACACACAGAAGATACACTTCTCTGAACTCCTCCTAAAGAGAGTGAACTGATATAGAAATAACTGTAATATGGAATACAATTTCATCCTTCTACCAGTCCTTATAGTAGTGACTTCCCTAGAATTTTCAGGATAGTGTAGTGAAAATATGATTAATGTAACTTGTAAGATCAATATTCATCTCATGACTCATAGGTATAGGTATGGACAAGATGCTATCTCTACTCCAACTCAAAAAAGTAAGTCTTTACAAAAGATTATAGAAATTACACTCATTTGAAAGTGTCAATCTGAGTCAATACACTTGACACCAAGCATATCACTGATACTCCTAGTCCTGAAAGTCCAAATTCATAAGATGAAGCACATACAAATCTACCAGAGGAAATACACAGAAGATAAAATTAAGTAAAACTCCAACTGTGTGCTTATTAAAAATAAAGATTATAAAATGTTATGAGATGGGAATAAAAGTATCGTGTGACTAGAAAATAAATAAAAGCTAGATGAATTTCAAAACACTCATTTTAGAGTTTGCCCTTAGACTTCCATGCTCCACCTTGACTTTAAAACTTTCTAACACTTAAAAAAATTCTAACCCTGCTGATTATTTTCTGGAGTCATGTTATTTCATTATCTATTATTGTGACAGAATTATAAAGCTATATTAAAGCATTAATAAAAGACTCTAAGATCATAACAAAAGCAGGAAATATGAGTCACAGTTAAGAGTCAAATAAACCAACCATGCTGCCCATCGAAGCAAGACTGGATAAAAAAATGTAGTACATATACACAATGGAATATTTTGCACCACAAAAAAGGACAAACATATGGACTTCACAGAAACTTGGATGCATTTCGAGTCTATCATATTCAGTGATCTATCACAGAAACAAAGAACAGAGTACCATATGTTCTCACTCATAAGCGGACCTTGAACAATTATCATAATACAATAAGAAAGGAACTGGCAATAGTGAGAAACTGCTAGGGGAGGGGGGTGGGATTGGCAGTTGAGGGAAACTGCCAGGGGAGGGAGGAGCACACCTCATCAACAAGGGTACCTGAATAATGAACATCTGTATACCTAACCCCGAATTGTACCCCACAGCTTTAAAATAAAGAAAAATTAATTAATTAATTATTTTAAAGAACCAAATAAGAAATAGACTAAGACATGACTGCAAACCATTTCATAATAATGCGGTATGCACCAGAAAAATTGCCTACGTTCTAGGTGATGAGGCAGGAGTTGGGGGAAATTGTGCAGGTAGACAGAGTAGAGCAGAAACTTGGAAGCAAGAGCGGCAATTCAAGAACAGCAAATAGTGGGTTCAAGAAGAAACAATGGAGCAGACATCTCAAAACACAAGCATGGAAGTAAATTCTGAAATATAGCTCCTTCTAATATGCCCATGTGATATGCTCATTCTTAAAACATAAGTAAAATCCATGAACTAGTCAGTTCAGCGTTAGTAAGTAAATGAAAGAAGACCATGGCTGTAAATGAAAAAAGACTGTGGCTGCAATTTCAGACAACACACATTATGGTTTTTCCACATTCAGACAGTGTCAGGAGTTTAGGCAGATTTGCTGAAATCTTCAACACTCTCACACCTTAGGAATTTGTAAATTTTCCCATCCTTGAGAATGGTTAGCACATTGAGTTGTTTCTTCATGCATGTATGACTGGATATTGTACCCACCTTTCTTTCTGCTGTCTGTGCTTTGGTACAAAGCTTAACTTAAATTCTTAAACTTTGAGTGGGTGTGGGGGCATGTGTATGAGTGAGGTGTTAGTGGGGGAGGAGAGAGGAGAGAGAGAGAGATTGAGAGATTTAAATGGTTTATTAAATAACTAAAGATAGAAATTTCACCTCTGAAGCAGGGATGAACATTTTTACAAAGAGAACCTGTTTTCATTGTCACATATTCAGATTCCTGATGATAATGGCAGACTGCTATGAGTAAAGTTCCTGTAGAAGACAAGTGGAGGTCTGAGTTAGACTCTTAAGGATATCAGGGGCTGCCATTGCTATCTGTGCTTTCTGCCAGGCTGGATGTCCTCGAAAACATAAGAAAGTTGTTCACAGAGTTGTTCACAGTGGAGATGAGGGAAAGGATTTGGGAATTAGTTATAATGATAACAGTCAGCTTCGAAAAATTAAGCAAAACCTCAAGATCTGTAGGTTAGTGCTGAAATACCAGTTGGTGGTTTCTGTGAAGCCTTTGAATGTGCATTAATTTTATCTCCAAATGGAAAAAAAAATATCTAGTGCTTGACAATACCATTGTTTAAAATCTGGTGACACTGTTCATGATTTTACTTTTTGTGCTAGGATTCTTTCCTGGCGCCTAGTTGAACTCTACCAACCACCTGCTCTCATTTATTGTCCTGTGATCCTAAAACATAAACAAGGAAAGAAAGCCAGAATATACACTCTCAAAATATGTAATGTATTTGTGCTATGATATAAGTTATGTACCAACTAATAAAGCTATTGAATATAATGTTATTAGTGTCTTGTTGAAATGTGTATGCTGTTTTTCCTGGTCTTTTCTCAAGTTTTTTAAATTCCTCTGTATTCTATTATACTTCTGTTATGGAGAGAAAAAAGTAAAGTAATTTTGTCTCTTACTTCAGGCTGTCAAGTTTGAATGGAACCTTGAAAGTCCTTTAGTGCAACTTCTACTACACCGTTCATTGCAAAGCATCCAGGTTGCCCATCGTCTTTACTGGTAAGACAAACTAAGACAGGTTGGAATGCCTTTTGAATTGTCAGCTTCTTTGTGGGACAGCTTTAGAAATAGATTTATCTTGTAGCTATTACAAAGAGTAAGTTAAAATTCAGCCAATTTTGAATCATCAAAGTTATTTTTATTTATGAGCATAATTTGTCATTATTTACAAAATCTTCCTTTTGACAGTTGCTATTGTTAAACAGCAAGTTAAATCTAACCAGAATATTAAATCTTGATTATATATTTCTATTATCTTTAAAGCACCAGTACAATTTATCTACTCCTTGAAGATTTCAATATTAAAATCTAGTTTTAAAACTATGTTTTGAAAGTATATGTGCTTATTGGAAAGTTCTTGTTTCCAAAAAATACTTTCTGTGTAATATTAGTTATGAATAATAGAATCTGAAAGCCAATATATACTCCTTTGCTGCAAATTTCTAGATTACTACACTTTTCCCAAGGCATAAGTTTGGAATATTATTAGTGAAGAAATAAGATTTATTTAAGAGGTATCAGAATTTCTCCCATCATCACCTGCTTTTGATCCTAATGCACATGTTTTGTGCTAATGCACATGTTTTGTGCATACTACTCCTCCTACTATTCATTTTACTCCTCATTTTGTAGATTTCACTTCATTTTCATACAATTACAAATATTGATGACCTAAGGATAAAAATAGATTTGTCTTTTGTCCTCATGAATGTATGACAGGCATCATTTAGTTGCTTTGATTACTAGTTAGGTATGTTATTTAAAAGAAAAAGAACAAGGCAATATCATTTTGGAGTACTATATTTTTCAGCTTTAAGAAATGTTATTCGTATTGATATCACTCTTTCCATGAAAATGACTCAAGCAGTCAAAGTAAAGAAGAAACACGAGGAACTTGGTCAGGTACCAATGTTTGATTTGCTGCTCTTTTTATTTTAAGTGCCTAATTTAAAAAGCAGAACGTTTTCTCTAGTATGTATTGTAATAAGGCATCAGATATATTGACTAGCACTGGGCCCTTCACTGAAGACTCTTATTAAAGCTCTGAATGAAGCCTTATTCTCTTCAGTTTTTCAGAAAGCTACTATGATGCTAACAGAAGTCAAGTGGATACACTTTGTGGTGTTCTTCTGCTATACTAAACCCGAGACTCCATTAAACTCAATTTTTACTTCTCATAAAACTTCATTTTTTACATGCATTGTTAAAATTAAAGCACATTTAGATAGCAAATTAGATAACAATATTGGTTTAAATAGTTAAGCCAAGTATAGCATATAAGTATTAAAATTATAATTTTAAAATACATTAAAATTAAGTGAAATATTAAAGACATTTTAATTAATTAACAATTGTTATAATATTTGCACCACCTTAGAAAGTTCTTCATCTGCTAAAGTGGTGTGAAAAGCAGAGTCATTTGTAAGGTATCAATGAGTATACTCAAAGTTGTAAGACAATGTTATACTTGCAAGTTCACATGAATACAATTATGTCACTGTTTCCATAGGGGTTGAGAGGAAAGTCTTTCTGTATATAATACTCACCCTTATGGAAAAAAATAGAGCCCACTTGTCTCACCAATTCAAGAAGATAGTAAGATAGAAGGAATGGAGAAGAATATGATAAATTATAAATGGACTACTTGCTTTTGAGGGCTTAAATATGAAAAAAGAAATGAAACCCAGGAAGGAGATGGTCACTTAAAACAAGTAAAAATTGAGAATCAGGCAACATGCACTAAATATGAGATAATATTCTTTATATTTAAAATGTACTTTGGAGCTAAAAACAATTGATGGCTAGCATCATGTTTAGGGAGTGTTTCTGTGCAAAATTTTTTGATTATAAAGATATAGCTCACACCTTATGACCTACTGGAAAATACTCAAACTATCTTTCCTTAAAAAAAAAAAAAAAAGCAATGCCCTATAACAACCACAAGCTAAAAATCCATCAGTCATCAGTTTAATGAGTTTTTTTCCCCCACATAGATGAATTACTACTTCCTTAGATTCAGAATATTCAACACTGAACTCAGTATCCTGCCCTGCTCTCCCAGGTCTTGAAAGCTTGCCTGGCTCTTCCCTTTTCTCACTAACATGACCAATTATTCAACAACCCCTATAATTCTATCCATCCTCCACAGCTTACCCTACTCCATTACTTCCACCTGCCACTGTCACTGCTCAGAAGGATGCCTCACTAGATACTGAACTGTGAATAAGTAGGATTGGAATGAAAACCATCTTGACTACTTGGCATCACTGTGTGTAGCCTTTCTGAGAGGGAAAATTGGGTGTTACCTCAAGTCTCTTCCGTTGGAAGGGTGAATGTAGAATGAGTAGCTCTACTTTTCAAGGAAAGAGAGTTAACAAGAATCTTTGAATTTGGAAGGTTCCTCCCAGTTTGCACCCTAAGGAGCTATAAAGGGAAACTAACGTTTTGGGCTCATGCCTAGAAGGCCTTTCTCCCCATGATATAACAATTCCAAAAGCTTAAACTCAGTACCCCTTTCCATTTTGAATAGGAGACAGTTTAACTGCTAGTGAGGTATTGGGTTGAGTGGTGGTCCCAAAAGAGATATGTCCACATCCTAACCTCAGAAATCTGTGAATGTGACCTTATTTAGAAAAAGGGTCTTTGAAGATAAGATTTGAGATTATCCTGGATTATTAGGGTGGGCCCTAAATCCACTCGCAAGTGACATGAGAAGCAGAAAAGAATCACACACACACACACACACACACACACACACACACACACACACACTCACACTCACACCGGAGAAGGTCCTGAAGACAGAGGCATTGATTGCAGTGATGTAGCCCTAAACCAAGGGATGCCTGGAACTGCCTAATGCTGAAAGAGGTGTGGAAGTTTTCTCCTCCAGGGATTTGGGAGGGAGCACAGCCTTGCCAGCACCTTGATTTGGGACTTCTGGCCTCAGAACCATGAGAATACATTTCTGTTGTTTGAGCTACCAGTTTGTGGTAGTTTGTTATGGCAGTCACAGGAAATTAACATACAGGACTTTATGAATGTCTCCAACTGGATCAGCTGGGATACCACATCATCCTCAAAGTTTTCCCTGACTCTTCCCAGCCACCACCCAAGATTCACTATTGCCCCCATGTCATATCCCATGAAGTTACTGTACATGACTCTGCTGGATGTCATGTCACACTCCCTTAACGCTCCTATTGCTCTGTCCACTCCCATCCTAGTTCACTCTTCAGCATACTAATCCCACTAAATATCTGAAACAATGTTTTTAAAATGATATATCCATAGAAATGTCTATAAACTCATCACAGTTTTCACATGTAGTATTGGAAATTCCATGGTACTATGGAATCTAAAATTACTAGTTTGCCTGAGACACTGTCAAAGGCACTGCTGGTGCACGAGCCAGATCATCTCTACCCAGTTGTTACACGCCCAGCCACATCTGCTGTAGTGCCTGCTGACTGACGACTGCCCCTCTCTGGAGAATTATCTGCTGCTCACATGCCCTCCTAGCCTGTTAGATGGGAAATATCTCAGCTACAACTTACATGCCATTACCTGAATCAAGGTTAGACTTAACCTAAAGCCTTATCCTTGTTAATTCCCTCTCCATTCCTATAATTCTCCTATTCCCTTACAGGATTTTTTTTTTTTTGACAACCACTTCTTCAGTAAACCACAAGCACTGAAATTCCTGTGTTATACCCTACTCTAGGGAGTCTGACCCAAGCTAAGCATTTCTTATTGAAGATAAAAAATTTAAATATGTGTGTTTAGAAATTGGACCATGACTATACTATGAAGCATATCATAGGTAGAACAGTAATTTGTGGTCTTTCTACTAAGTCTAATTGAATGAACTCCAAGAGAAAACCAATTTGAATCATAATATGTATGGTAGGGAGCCATTTTATAATGTGGCTCCTTTATAAAGTGTTATTTAAAGCACATACAGCAAAAATTTCTTGTGTCCCCTTCAAGTATGTGTTCCCTTCAAAGTGTAGTGGCAGCCTGAAGTGAAGCTCCTATTTTCAAACTCTGTCAGTGCAGGAATTTTCTTTCTTTTTTATTCACTGGTATGTTACAAGCACCTAGGACAGTTCTTGGCACTTTATAAATATTCAATAAACGCTACTGAATTAATGATTGGAGTCAGTTGCCTGGGCCCAGCTGTGCACATGCAGTCTTGTGTCAGAAGAGGGCAGAAGAGAGCTGCTTCAGAGATTGAACAAAAACTAGCCTGGCTGAAGCAATTCCGGGAGACTGAACCAATCAGGAACTTGCAATGGATATCACCAGTGAAGTCGAAACTGGAGGAGAAAGAATGTGAGCAGAAGCCAGGGACTAAGTCAGGAATTAGTGCCTAAGAACAAGTTTGCCTGAGACACCGTCAAAGGCACTGCTGGTGCACTAACCAGATCATCTCTACCCAGTTGTTACTCCCAGCCACATCTGCTGTAGTGCAGATGTTAAAAAACGTTGTCCTGTTGTGAGTTTTAATATGCTACCTACAAAATTGAGGTGATGCAAAATCTGCCCAATAAGTTTTTAATGCCCTAAAGTCTTTTTACTCAAAATTTTGAGGCTTGTTCTCAAATCAGAGACTAAATAAAGCAAAACAATGTGGTAATTTTGTTTCCTGTGCTTTGCAGTCACATGTGGCTCTCTTACCCCCTGTCCAAAATGTCTCTGCTGATGTCTGAAATTCTGTCATTAGCAAGTCACTCCTTGAGGTTAAGTTTTGTTCTCCTCTGGCAATTCTCTTCTAATATGAATAAGCATGGATTCAGAACACAATGCTTATGATGAATTGGTTTATCATTTGTTCATTTATGTGACACACATTGAGATTCTAGACACTGCTGAACTATTAAGAATAAAACAATAAATGGTCTTTGCCTTACAGAAGCTCAAGGGCTAACAACAGCATTTGGGCAGCAAAAAAGAGTCCACTGGCTACATGGTAGGGTAGAGTAAAAGGAGGGAGCTCC